ATTGTATAATTAGTCAGCACACATGTGCGTTCAACGCCAAATAAGATAATTGCGTACTAGCCGTTTGAAGCGAATGAGTGGCATGATTGCTGCTAACAAATTGCACCACGTTGATTTGGTTAGCATCCCAATGATTTGGGATTAAAGGGTATGCCTATTTGACTTTGGATTCCAGTTTCCGTGTGTGATATGTGATATATATGTGTGTATATATATATATATATATATATTCTTTCCGATCTTTGGCTTATCCATGCATGCATCAAGAAGTATTGCGCTTCTATATTACCGGTATGAAGCTCACTTTCTCTTCATATATGTCAAACCCTACAAACAATATTGTATTGAACGCTCAATTTTTTTATTCAATGCTAGTGATATGTACAATATTTGAGTATACGAACAAGACATGTTTTTCAATTCAATCATGTACGCTATTTGCCTCATGTATCAATATATATATCTAAGTGTTTGCCGAATAACATTATAGTAACCCTCTCTCTCTGATCATCTAAACCCAACTAGTCTGTTCAGATGAAAGCATGAAATTAACTTATTATTAATTTGACTAAAAAGAGTATTAATAAAAAATAAGGAGTAAAAATCTAGATTTATGAATTTTTAAAAGGTGTTTGTTTTATTTTCCCTAAAAAAATTGAGCCCAATATAAATATAAAAAAGGAGAAAATTACTATACTAAAATGCTATACTAAATGCTCTTTGAAAATGTCCGTCCATCTTTGTTGAGAAGAAAATAATGTAGTAGTACGATACTAAAAATAGTCTATTAAGATAATTTTCGGTGAATTGAGTGGCATAAATATTAAGGGCATGTTTAGTTTACTAATTCGAGTTTTTAATTTAAGTTGAGATGTGACTTTATGTGAGAGTTTTTTACTGTAATAAAAAAGTTAGATGTGACTGTTTTTAAGAGCTTTTTACTGTAACATACTCAAATTATAAACTCAAATCGGTGAAATGAACGAAACTTAAATTTGTGCATTTTAATGATATAAAATAAAGATAATATTTTTTGAGTGACATTTCTGTATTTCTCAAAAAAAAAAAATATCAGCAAAAAACTAAAATTGCCATATTTTTTTTGAAAAAAAAAATTATTTTATAAATTTGAATGTACTGGCCTACTTTACACTTAAAATTGGCTTAGGTTCCTTGGATTCCAAAAAGGGTAAACTAAGGCAAGTGCTAAGACCGAGAGTGTAGATTAGCCAAGAATCTAAACATAATATTTATTTGTCATATCTATCTAACGGTAGTTATAATCTTCAGTGGGACCCAACAAAAAGGTCATAAGAATGTCTGTAATTGGTCGGTGTTGTGCAGTTGTCCAACAGTCTCACTAAGGCCCGTCACAGTGTCTCTTAACATGTTCGCCCCACAAACAAATTATAGTTGCTCTTTACAGCCACTAAAAGCCTTCCCATTTACAAATGCTTTTTCCAAGTTTCAACCAATTCTGTTTCTTCCTTTAGCAACCAACAAACCAACCTCCGATGAAAAGACGCTCTTTCTTACTAGTATCAAATTTTTAAGGAAATGTTGCTTCTACACCAACAGGTTATGATAAGGTTCTACTTGAGGTTTACACTTCTTTAACACCAAAATCAAATTTTTTGGGGGAAAAAAAGAAGGAATAATGTTGTTTTTGATGGTCTTTGGGGATGAAACACAGCGTACACAGTAGTATCACTGTTTGTAATCATAGCGAGGACAAGTGAAGATTTCACAGGTTTTAAGTCCAAGCGTCGGATATTTCAAGACTATAATGAGCCGGTTGAGAGGATTATTGAATAATATGAACACCCCTAATATCATGACTATATTTCTTGACTCAAATTTAGTGGACGTTTGGTTCACAGATTCAGAATCACGATTCAAAATCATTCTTAGTTTACGTGTATTTTTTGTGAGAGAATACACTATAATGAACCACGAATCATGATTCGAATCATAACACGAATCCTCATACTAAACACGTTGTTAGTAGCTGAGAGTCAAGGGAGGAAATCATATTTATTGGCTTGATGAGCTTCTTCTATTTTAAGTCAAATAATGCAGAAAACAAATTAAACACAATAATGTGCATCTTTCTTTTTGCAAAGATTACGATAAACGTACCCTAAAAAAATTAGGATACATGCGTATTTTAAGTGTCGAGATTTTTGTGGGTTTAAGTTGAGAATTTGAGTTGAAAAATAAATTTATGTGAGAGAAAACACTATAACAAAAAAATTGAATATGAATTTATGTAAAAAAAAAAAAAAAAACACACTAGAGAGTCGGCAATTTCAGTCACTTTTTTCAGTCGAGTATGCAATTTAGTCACTTTTTTTTTGTTGTTATATGCGTTCGTTTGAAATGGAGTTATCAAGCAATAGTTTGAATAGGTTTGTAGTTTAAAAACCGCAAGAGCAACATCATTTTGAGCACCAACGAATTAACTTTGTTTGAGAATGAGTTATATGGATCTCCTCTATGTCGTAATCATCGTTTGTTCAAACGCAATTGAGAGTTTTAATTTCCTTTTCTTTTTTTTTTTTTCTGAGCATTTGCTCCTTTCAGTGTCTCTGTTTTTCTAGTATTTGTGAGCAAATATGCACATCTACATATCCATCTATCTTTCTATATAAAAGGCTAAAAAACTATGCGTATTATTGTTACTATTTTAAAACGAAAATCAGCACTTCATTGGAGCTTGACAAGGTCTCTCATTGACAATAAACTGAGATATTCCACAAGGGATATAGTTGAAAACAGAAGGCATCATAACAACGAGACATTTTTTTTTTTTTTGCTCATCCATAACAACGGGACATTGTATAATGTGACAACAATGGGAAAAAAAATGTGCAAAACTATGGGCTACTAAATTGCCCGGCCTGGGAACATAACCAACGCTAACAGTCACCAATGGAAATAAATTCTTTAAAAAAAAGAAAAAAAAAAGAAGAGAAGACGAGAGGGAATAACTGCTGCGTCTTTGACACTTTGTTTTATGGAAAACTTTCAAAAATACCATCAATAAATTGACACTATTTTATTTCTACCGCTGTTGTTAAATTTATCTTATACTACTAATAACTTGTAAGTAATCTTTTTATAACTTGTAGGTTACTTTCATAATCTGTAAGTTATCTTTCATAAGTTATCTTTCATAATCTGTAAGTTATCTTTTCGTATCTTTCAAATTATTTTTCGTAGTGGTATTAAAATTTTATGTTATGACATAAATAATAGATAGAAAAAATAATGGTTAAACATGAAATTTTCTTTTTTTTTTATTCGGGCCTGAAAAGGGCTTTGATGGGCTCCTCCAAGAATATGGCAGGACTAGGCCAGGAATCATGAGAGATGTAAAAAAAGGGGAGAAATAGGAAAATTGGTCAAGACTTGAGATGAATTAAAATTAATAGGTCAATAGTTTACATAAGTTAATCACTAGGCTAAAATACTGTTTTCGTCCATAATTTGTCTGGTTATGAACCATAACTTGACAAGTTATTGTCCATAATTGTCCACAACTTGTCTGGCTATGAACCATAACTTGACAAGTTTATCAATAACTTATCTGGTTATGAACCATAACTTGACAAGTTATGGTCTATTAATTTCTATAACTAAAAATTGACCTATATACTTTCTTAAGCTTTTCATATTGACATATTTTCTACAATTTCTCTAAAAAAAGGCACGTTTAGGAGGGCTTTACGCAGATATCACGTACTTATAGATCGAGCTTTGCTATTTAAAAAAAAAAAATCTTGCATTTTTTTTTTTCAACAATGCATTTAGAACACTAAAAACGCTCTTGATATATCATTCCAAGATACAGATTATAGTCACCAGGGAACGACCAAGGGGCCATTGTGATAAGAAGAAATATGGCAACTAGCGGTAATCGACCGTGTTACCAATGGTTTTCTTGCAGGAGTTACAAAAGGAAGAACAAAAAAAAAAAAAAAAGCCAAAAAAAAAAAAAAAAAAAATCATAGGCTGGCGCCTAGCCTTGGAGATGAAGACCAAGGCAAGATCTTCCTTCTGTGGAACATTAGGTGAGCTCCTCGCAGCATTCCGGAACGCATTGCACCTCCATCACCATTGGTGTGTTGGCCTCCAAGAAAAGAGAGAGGAAACAATAAGATCTATCTAACCAAAATAAAACCTTATACTATATGGTTTAATGGAATAGCCATATTCCTAAAAGTAAGTTACTATTATGTTTGGTTGAGTAAGAGAGGTTTTTTGTTGAATAGCTATTCAACCAACGTTTGCATACACATCGGTAAAGTGGATCATCATAATAGTCATCCCATTTTAAAACTAATATTAATTAAGTCATTTGTATCCTTAATTACCTTTCCTAGTATTATCTTAAATTACCCTCCCCACTATCATAATTTAAAAACAATAGGATTTTTAGTGCTTTTGTCCCTTAAACTTTGATTGAATTGGCAAGTTATCCCCTTAACTTTATAATTAAGGTTAAGGTAAATCTTGTGGAGTGCTCCTAAGTCAATGAGTGGTGTTCAAAGTTGGCAGAAAATGTCCTTACACCCGACTTGATATGCTCCAATCATTGTCCAAAAATTTCAGTATATTTTCCTTCAAACAAGTTCATGTAATGTGTACAAGCAAGAAAGTTAATAATGTGTACAAGAATGTTTTTATATAAATCATATTTCAGGGGCAAAATGAACCATTTTTAAAATTGAGAGTACGTTGAAACAAGGTAAATGGGTATTTACGAAATTAACCATAACTTTAACTCAAATCATATTTTGCCACGTCACTGCTTCTGGCCCCACCGTTGGATCAATCGTTTAGTTAACCTTTGGTAGTTTATTTTCCCTCCAATACCAGAACGGCAGGACTAAAACCACCATGTCCGATCCATCAAGAATTCAAGATCGTTCCTTTTATCTTCCACCGCTCTATATAAACCCTCTCCACCACTCCTGTCCACTCACTCACTATTTACATCACCGAAAAACTCAGAGAGAGAGAGAGAGAGAGAGAGAAAACAAACGCTTTCTAGAGAGAGAGAGCGAGAGGCAAAAAAAAAGGAAAAACCAGAGCGAGGGAAAAAGAAAGAAAGAAACTTTGACAAACAATGGCGGATCAACACGATCAAGAGCTCGTTCAGAAACCAGACGTGATTCAGCAAAACCCTCTCGAAGCTCCTCCGGAATACTCCACGGAGCCGCCGGACTTCTCAGTCCTCCGCCTCGACCACCTCGACAATCACTCTCCCTGCGCCAACTGCGGCTTCTCCGGCGCCGGCACCGGCACCGGCAACCGCAACGGCAATTCCCTCAAACGGCCTTCGCCGATCTCCGTCAACTCCCAACAACCCAAGCCCAAGAAGCTCTCTCTTGACGACCCCATCACCACCACTCCTTTCCCTCTTCTCCGCCGCTGCGTCTCCGACGCGTTCCACCTTCCTCCTCCGGTTCAGTCTCCTCCAGCTTACGCTCCGGCCTCGGGCATTTCTTCGAACTCCTCGCCCAAAACCGCGCTGAGTCCCGAATCTGTCACGCCCTGCTCGGCCACTGCTCTGCCTCCTCGGCCGCCGCCGCTCCGGCGCAACAACTCCGCTCCCATTCCGTCTCCGACGAAGTCGCTCTCGAGGACGTCGAGCTCTAATCAGTTTGACAGCAAGACAGACAATTCAAAGGTAATTCAAACGTGATTTCTTCTCTATCGTTTTTCTTTTTGTATGATTTCACGTGATTAATATCATGGTTAATATATAATCTCTGAAATTAACAATACTTTCGTGGTTTAATTTATATTTATATTTCCTCATCAGGGTTTCTTTCTTTTTTTCTTTGGTCTTTTTTTCTCTATTAGTATCATTGTTTGCTGTTACATGGGTAGTTCTTAATTTTTCTTTTTGTTTGATTAATCGTGTTTAAATGCTTAATGTCTGAAATTAAGGTCACTTTCTCGGTTTAATTTATGTTTCCTGATCTGAATACTTCATTTTATTATTAGTATTATCATTCTTTTTTTTTTAATTTTAATTGTATTAATTTCTTGGCCATTACATGGTACTTCTTGATTTTTCTTATTTGCACCAGAATATGAAACATGGTTAAGAAGGTTAATCTCTTAAATTAGCGCCACTTTTATGGTTTGATTTATGTTTTATAATCTAGGCTATTCTTTCTTTAACTATTATCATCATCTTTTTGTCTAAAATATGTAGATTCATTCAATAGTCTCATTTTCTTTCTTACTATTCTTGGCCATTCTTGATTTTTCTTATTTGCTTCAGAATAAAATGTAATATGTTGTTGCTTTTTTTATTTGATTGTTTTTTTAAAGAAATGAAGTTTATTTTTGGTGCAGAAGCGGACAAAGATAAGGAATTGTTTGAAGGAGATGAGCATGTGGATGGAAGAGTTAATGGGAGTTGAACAATCCCAGGACCAATCCGAATCACTCGTTGACGAAGAAAATGGAGGAGTCGAAACGACAACATATCATGATAACGACAAAGAGAACGCCAATATTACTAAGGTCCGGTTTGTTTCTCGTCTCTCAAAAAGTTTTTCTTTTTCCTTTTTTTTTTTCCTTCATTTATTATGATATTATTATTATTATTATTATTATTTTTGAATTTGACTCTCAAAAGTTTCGTCGTTTAAGGATGCAGTAAACTTTTTTGACGTCGTCTTTAATTTGATGTTATTTTGGCAGACTTCTGAAGCCGAATTTGAGGAGTCTCTGAGCGTGGAGAGAGATGGGAATTGGCTAAACATTCACTTCAAGTGTCACTGTGGAAAGGGATATCATTTCCTTCTTGCTGATGGAAGTTGCTTCTACAAGCTTATGTAGATTCAGATTTTAGTTCTTAAGTTCTTTTACAATTGTCGTTTTGATGGTTTGGAAGCAAAGATTTCTGGAATCTGTAAACTGTGAATAGAATGATTGTGAAAGCGTGTGGAAATTCTTCAATGGATGTCTTAAAGACTTGGCTTTCTTTTCATTGTTTTTCTTTTCTATTTGTGCACAATTTTCTGTTCAACAACTTTGTCCATCTCTTTTTCAGTGGCCAAGCATTTAGCAAAACGATATGTATATCGAAAAAGAATCAAGTACTAAGTTCCAAAACAGTTCATCTAGAGTTGGAATTCCTAAAGACCAATGTGTGTCAGTAATCACTATTTTATCTCTCTTTTGGGTGCACGAAGGGTGAACAGAGGAAAGCGAACATAAAATTTTGCCTATTTTATCTCTCTTTTGGCCAAGCATTTTGAGTGTTTCTCCGAGATAAGTTTGGGTGATCACGCCATCCTTGATTAAACTTGTTGGAGTAAAGATTATTCTGTTGCCTATTAAAATTTCCCAGATATTGAGCGTGCTCCATTTGTACCTGTGCAAAAGGGTTGTCAGCTTGACATTCAGAACTTTGGTGAGATCCGCTGCAAAATTCACACACTGGAGAGAATGTTTAGATGACATTGGTTGTCAATTGAGTCTTTTGCAATTGTTTGGAAAGAGAAGCAATTTGGGCAGTCAGATTAGTGATAGCATCAATCTCATGTAGTCCGGGTGTCTTCTTTGGTATGCTTCTTTCACTAGGTCACTGGTAATTATTGGTTGCCATATCTTCTAGCAACTCATATGCTTCATCTTCGATTTTCTTCATGAAGGCTCCCCCTGCAGATGCATCAATCAGAGTTCTTGTAGTGCCGCTCAACCCATTGTAGAAATTATGGACTTGCATCCATTTAGGTAGACCATGACGAGGACATCTTCTCAGTAACTCCTTGTATCTCTCTCATGCTTCATATAGAGTTTCACATTCATATTGAACAAAATTGTTGATCTCAATGCGCATCTTCGCTGTTTTAGCCAGTGGGAAAAACTTAAAAAGAAACTTCTGAACTAAGTCTTCCCAACTAGTAATCAAATTTGGCGGCAGTGAGTTCAACCGACATTTTGCTTTATCTCTTAAAGAGAAAGGAAACAAACGAAGGCGAAGAGCTTCATCATTAACTCCATTGTATTTGACAATATCGCAAATCTCTAGAAAATTTGCGATGTGAGCATTAGGATTTTCTAGAGCTGAAAATTCGGGCCGCCCGGCCCGGCGGCCCGGCGGCCCGAAAGGGTAGTTCGGGCCGGGCCGGCCCTAAATAATTTTATATAGGCCCAGCCCGGCCCTAAGGCCTGATGGGCCGAGGGGAGGGGCGGGCCGGGCCGGCCCGAATCGGCCCGGCCCGAGCATAATTTATAAAATATTAAAAAAAAAATAACGAAATTTATAATAAATAGTGAATATTATAAAATTTTAATGAAATAAGACTTTATTTATGTATTTATAACTACCTCATTAAAAACCTTACCAAGAAAAACCCATTGGGATAAAACCTTGGTAAGGAAAAAAGAGTGCAGTATTATTTTTACAGTTACAATTTATATTAAGAAACAAAAATATCTAACTGCCTGCTACACTACTCCCCGTATCAGAAGCATCATCGTCAATGTATAAGTTCTGAAATTGATCCATTAAATTGCTGTCTTCGGCTGTGTGTTGCATTCGCAAAGAAGCATTTTCCCAATCTTTTAGACATATTAGCACCTCAACCATTTCTGGAGTCAACAAAGTCCTTCGTTCTTCAATTATCCTCCCAGCTGTGCTAAAGGCAGACTCTGAAGACACTGTTGATACTGGAATAGTCAAGACATCACGTGCTAATATTGAAAGTATTAGAAATCTTACACCTTGTAGCCTCCACCATGCCAAAATTTTGAAATTATCATCATTATCAGCACCATCTATCACCGAGAATTCTGTCTCAAGGTATCTGTTAAGCTCCATATATTGTGTCGTCGTTGGTGTTGATGGTGGTGGCATGACACTCGGAGTCGCAGTTGATGATGAACTAGAGCCACCACGATGAGAAGATATAAAATTCCAAAACTTCTTTTTTGAGCGGGCCGACTGATCTTGTTGCGTTTGTTGAGTACTCAAGTTACCAAACTTGTTCTCGTAAATTGCATAAATCTCAAATAACTTTTCACGTGTGTTAACAACCTGTGAAGTATAATCTATATCCAACTGGCCACCGATATGAGAAAAAACATTTCCAAGACCGGATAATTTTACTCTAGGATCCAAAATAATTGCTAAACAATACAACAGAGGAATTTCAGACCAATATTTCCTAAACTTTATTTCCATTTTTTCTACTATCGGTTTAAATAACATATCATTTCTATACGTTTCAAATAAGTCTGTAATCTCACAAATTTGATGCAACACTAATAGAGAAGTAAGATAATAAATACCAGATAATAAAATAGTAGAATCATAAAAAACCTCCAAAAAATACACAAATCGTTCGCAAATAAACCAATCATTTTCTTGCAACATTGTTTTGCCTATTTTTGTATTGAAAATAATAGTGATAATATTTTTATATGGCAAAGTACTCTTCAACATCATATATGTTGAATTCCACCTAACAGGCATGTCAAGACCAAACTTTCTAGGCTTCATACCTTCTGCTTTACAATACCTCTTAAACTCAGCAATACGGAGGTTTGAATTATGAATCCAAGAAATGGCATTTCGAATATTATCAATTGTAGAACTTACCATATGCATACCTGATTTGACAATGAGGTTAATTATATGGCATGCACACCTTTGATGAAGTAAAACTCCACCACTATACGAGTTTATAAGTCCCTCCAACATTGATATCGCCCTTGCATTAGCTGTAGCATTATCTAAGGTGATAGAGATAATACGGTCTCGTATACCAAAATCTTGAATAACACTAACAAGTCTCTCAACAATATTATCAGCATTATGTGAACAATCAATAAGTCTAAAACCAATAATTCTTTTTTGCATATTCCATTTAGAGTCTAAATAATGTGCAACTACGCTCAAATAATCTTGATTCGCCCTACCACTCCAAATATCAGAGGTTAATGCAATTGAAAAATTTAATGCACCTATTTCAGCTATTAATGCAAGACGCATTTTCTCATAGTATGTAATCATATCACTCCTAGTAGTAGTTCTAGAAACTTTTTGAAATTGAGGACAATATGCACGTTGAATATGCGCTTCATAATATGGGTTATCACCAAGGTTAATAGGTAAATCTAAAGCAGAAATAAATCGACATAAAGATTCCCTAGCAACTTGAGGATTATAGGACCAAGTACTTACCGAACCATCCGGGTTTAATTGAAGTTGAGTTTGTGTAGGCTCCGTCCTGGCTTGATGTAGTCTAGCGTATTTAACTCCGTGATCTCTCAAGTGTCGAGTTCCACTCATAGAATTTGCTGTCAAAACTTTTTTACAATATATACATGTAGCTAATTTTATTTTCTGACCTCCAGTGTCAATTCTCTCTTGTGTAGTGAAGTATTTCCAACATTCTGCACGTTGTCTTGAATGTTTTGTTGTCGTTGATGATGTTGAACCACTTGAGCCCGTTGGCATTTCTGAGGGTTGATTCGGTTGAATATTGATATTTTGTGGCATGTCACCTACTTGGTCACCCACCTCCATTCATTGAATTGTTGCTTCCTCAATGTCTTGATCATCCACTCCATAGTAGTCAACACCATCAAGACCATACCTATACATATTTGGTTCCATTTTCTATTGAAGTAGAGACTAGAGTAGAGATTAGAGAATCACAAACTTTTTTTTTTGAACAAAAATGAAATAACAAAATTGAGAGAATTAATGAGTGAGAATTGAGAGTTGAGAAAAAATTAGAGAATGAGAAGAGAATAGAGAGAGTGAAAATTGTGTTGTGTGAAAAAAATGGATTAATAGAGGGAGTATTTATAGACAAGATTTAAAAATTTTAAAGGGAGAAAAAAATGAAAAAAAAAAAAAAATTTTGGCAAAGGGTTGCAGCCTGCAGCCCTTTGCGTGCCAAGCTATTAGACTCACTACCGTGAGCAATGAGTCAGCCCACCCAATGGTAATATTATCGTTGGGTAGGCTTGGCTTTGGGTGCTTGGCCCAAAAAAATAAAAAAAAAAATTTGGCAGAGGGCTGCAACCTGCAGCCCTCTGCCAAGAAGGCCATTACCCATTAGACTACAGCCCTCTGCCAAGAAGGCCATTAGACTCACTGCCTCACGGCAGTGAGTCAGCCCACCCAGCGGTAATATTACCGTTGGGCAGGGCTTGGCCCAAAAAATAAAAAAATAAAAAAAATTTGGGCAGCCTAGGCCTTGGGCCGAAAGACCCAAAAAAAAAAAAATTTCAGGCCATTTCGGGCTATTTTCGGGCTGGGCTATTTGGGCTCTCCGGGCCGGGCTTGGGCCGCATGAGGGCCTGGAATTACGGCCCAGCCCGGCCCTATACTAGGGCCGGGCCGGGCTCGAGCTTGTACGGATTCAGGCCGGGCCCACAGTAACGGGCTTTGGGCCGCCCCGTCTGGCCCGGCCCAAATTTTCAGCACTAGGATCTTCATTCGGCAATCCATTAAATTGGATCGCTTGAATCATCTGCAACATCACCGGCTTCGATTCAAAATTATTCGCTTGAATAGCAGGCTTCTTGATCACTGATTGAACACCGGTTGGTGGCAATGCATAATCTCGCAAAGCCATTGGCTGATTGACCACCGGTGGATTGTTCAGTGGTATGTTGTTGTTGTTCTCATTTATTGCCCCTTCAGGATCAGCCATAGTTTCTTGCGACAGAATGACAGTTTCTCTATTCTCTTTTCTATTTCTTCGACAAGTACGCTCAATTTTTGAATCAAGAGGAAGTAGAATACTACTCCCAAACTTTCGCATGCACGTAGAGTAAATTGCAGTAGAGCACAAAACAAGAACAATAAAATAAATAACAAAATAAAATCTAAAGTAAAACTAGAGTTATTTGGTATCGATATTAGT